GATGTCTGGAGCAAGCTGGTGCCCAGGAAATCAGATGTAAACACACTGCTCTCTGCCAAAAGAAGAGTTTGCCTTCATTTATATCAATATTTGAATTTAAAGACAATTTTCTCCTACCTCTCTGGATTGCAGCTTTCTGTATACCTCCTTAATGATATGATAATCTCCTCACAAATATGTGCAAGAACTGCATTATTCCTTTTAAGTTTATTTCAAAACTGAGCTTACAAAGGTTTACTTTCAAGTCTTACCTTTGCTGCAGTAACAAATTATACTTTTCCTTGAAAAATAGTCCTGACTGAAAGAAATATTTAGCAACCCTTTTGTAATTCACAAGCCGTATGTGACAAGTCACATTCATTTCAATTTTCAAGTTAACTGATTGTAAATCACTTCAGTTTTTTAAACAAATTTGCTGTAAGAATATAAAATTATTTCTAGCAAAGTTATATTAATCACCTTACACTTAACTGCTTCAAATCAGTTTCAGACAAACAATTTTTTCTTCCTGTCAAGAACTTCCTGAGTTGCAAAGAAATCAAGTAAGAGGAAAAAAGTGCTGTTTTTTTCAAATAGTCTGTAAATCTGTTGCCAATTTCCACAGCCCATGAACCTCTCCAGAATTTCTTACCAACTTAAGCTACATGAATTTAAAAGCATATCCTACTGTTCTCTTAATAACACTGTTGATTTTTGAATACCTTAAGCAGGATTTTCTTAATAGAGTGAAATAAACTGCTTTCTTTGAAAGTAACATTTTGAACAAGAAGGTGTTACCGCAAAAATTAAGTAGCAGCAAGCATACTGAGGAATTATTTAGGAATTATTCCAAGTCACATAAAAAAGCCCCTAAAAAATATTCAACTGCTTTGTTTTTCAAATAGTCACACTGCACGGTTCCTGCACTAAAGGGACAATAGCTGTAGTGTAGCTACATTTTAACTAAAACACAAGACAGAAGCTGAAGTACTGATTATTAGTCTAACAAGGTTTATTTCTAATACAGAGTGTCCTGTCAAACTGCACTAGAAACAGTGCCCAGAGAGCACACAGTAAACACAAAAATATGACTTCTATCTCCTAACCCGTGTGACACCAAGCACATAATGCTGAGAAGGTACGAGCACTGCAAAATGTGTGCTTGGACTTTCATTATGTTTTGTCTCCAAACATGCAGTGCCCAGTCCCAGAGGCAGAATCCTGTGTCAGGTGGGCATTTGTTGTGACCCTCTGCAAATATCCTTGTTCCGATGCCTTTAAGGAAGTGTGTCCTTCAGCCTCCATCTCTGAGCTCCTCTGTCAAGTAACACTCATTGCTGTGGCAGCTGCACATTAACAGAGTTAGCACCGTGTTATCATCATGGTGCTGTTTCTAACCAGTGGTCAGAAATTATTCTATGAAGCAAATGTAAATGCCTCTTAGAGTAACCAGGCTGAGAAATACTACTGTTCTCCCTTATTATTGCTTATGGTGATATTCAAGTACTATTTATGCTTCATGCTTGGAGTTATAATGTCCCATGCTTAGCCCTCCTATCCTGTTTTTCATGGTTTATAGGTCCATAATCAGTGTGAAACCGCTCCACAGTCATGCTAAGAATCTCAGTGATGTGATCATTTTGCCTTTACAATAATATTGTCATGACAAGAAGAAAACAAAAAAAAAAATATAATCGATTGAATGCATTTAAGTAAAGAAAATAAATATTTTCTGTATTTTAGCTCAAACCAGGAAATGCATAGATTTATCATTCTTGGTACACTCCAAGAAGTATCTTCTTCCAGGTTGGACAAGGTGAAGCAGAAGAACAAAAGACCAACTAGAGGGATAAGTATTTCCCTTTCCTTCAGGCACTACTCATTCACTCCTCTATGCTGACACTTCCAACATTTCCCTTTTCAGATTATTTGGTCCCATCCTTCTGTCTGTCCTGTTTATCAGACAATGCAAAAAGTTTCAATTCCTCACAAATTATTATATATTATAAACTACAGCACCACCAGCTTCGGAAAGTGATTCATCGTGTTTCAGCAACTGTGAGAAGGGTTTTTCCCATACGGACAGTTACACATAAAAATGAAACCTTCAGAAAATCTTCTTCCTGAAGGTTTGACTGCTTCAAGGACAGTGGGAGTGAAAATGCCATAAGCAAGGGTATTTGAATGCTAATAGATCATTTCATCATAGAGAACTATCTAATATTCCAAGACATTCGTTTCTATCATCAATCTACTAGTAGATAGTGTAGACAAAGATAGACTCAATGTGTAAAGAAGACATAAAAACTATATCATTATGAAACCTGAATTCAATTTTAGTCAAAGTCCTTTATTAAACAGATTATCATCAGGTGTGTCACTCATCTAAGCCTCTGTCCTATGCTTTCCTATTGTAGTAAACATTTCGAGCTGGCAGAGTCACAAATTCTGTTTGCTATTCACACCACATTGTCCTGTGTTTTATAACATCTCACCAGACATTCTTCTGTTTGGACCATGATTCAAATATAGGCATCACTTACAAGCTACCAGCAAATAGGGAAGAAAAAGGATGTACATTTTGCAAGGTTTTCTATTGTTTTTGTTTTTAAATTCTATGGAAATAGATGTAAACAGACTATTGCTAGGAGGAGAAAAAAAAAAATTTGCTAACCATAAGAACTACTCTATAGTCTTTCAAGAGAAAATTGTCCTGCTGTTTACAAAAAGGAGAGAACAGATGCTGTCCCTTATCTTTTCCATTCCAGGGAAGGTGGGCAACACCAAGTTGAGCTAGACAGTAGTATTTCGGAGATGACAAGAAGAATGGAGTATTGCATAGCTAAAGGAAATAAGACCTCTGAAAAAATGAAGCCCTTTCTGGTGGTTGCCTGAAATATTTGCATGGTTTTGACAATGTCTTGCTTATCTACACTGCAGAAATGGTCATCCCATGTTGAACACAATTTGCAGGAGAACAGCATTAACACTGCAAGTGGCCATCACAGCCAGACAACATGACCTGAGGGCTGGATGTATTACATCTGATAGCACCAGCAAACAGCAGAATCTTGTCTGAGCAACCTGATGTCAGTAATCCATTAATCTGATAGCCTGTATTGATTCTACTCCTTCCATATTTCTGTCCTCACTAAAGAAAATTTGCCAAGATACTGAGAGTAAAAAAAAACCAAAAAAAAAAGTGATTTTATCACATCAATCATTTGAGCAAAAGCATTCCAGCATTCTGTTATCTTTCACAGATATATTTAAGAATCCCTTCACTGGGATACCCACAGGCCACAGAAACTGCTTGCAGAGTTTTGTATCAGTTCAAAGCATATACATATTTGTGTATGCACCTCTAAATGTCACGAATAAAAAAGGATAAAAGCAAAAGTTCTTTATTCTCCACCACGGTTTCAAACTGTGTGTTCCTTGTCATTCTGTTGCTGTGAAAAATTATGAGACAAGACCAAATTTAAGAGTCCAAGTTTCTTTAAAAGAAGTATACTGCAGTTTTCTGCAACATTTAAATCAAGAGAGGTGGGTTGAAGACAACAAAGATCCTAGAAAGGGTCAGTTTATTTATCAGAGAAGCACTTGGTGAGGGTAAGTTACAATCATTCCATTGAACTAACCAAAATCTTATGGTAAGCAGGGAGACAGAGACAGGTAAGCATCCTTTGAGATGACCTGGGGTATCCCATCACCCGCTATATGTGTCCCTTCAGAGGAACATCAGTCTCCTGCAGGTCTCTTACCTCTGACATCCTCGTGGAGGAAGCTTTACACAGAATACACGACCCATAGTCAGCGGATATAAGTGACTGCTGCCTGTCCATGCATGCAGGATCACTTCAGACACCAATTTAGGTGACTTGTGCTTCCCCCACCTCGCCTTCCTCATTATATTCAGAGACCAGATACTAGTTTTTCCACTCACACAGTATTGCCCTGACAAAAGAGTATTTTCATAAATCTGCTTGCATTACTTAGCCTTTAGAAAATGACAAGTGAAAGAGACACAAGTACTATTCACATGTGACTGTTAATCAGACAGGAGTTACTACAATCAAATTTTGCTGACTTTGTCTCATCTGGACAGGCTGCTGAAATAAATGCTTGGAAAATTTTTAAATCCTCTAACTCAGTGATTTCCAAACTAGAAGTCCAGTCTCTGAGTACAGCCCCAAACTTCTGAGAAATCAATTTTCTCTCATCATTGAACTAACATCATGTTAATACAATATTCCTACTTTGCAATCAAGGTTGTGACTGGAAAGTAGGAACAAACATCCACACAGATGATGCAAGTGCAAAATCAACCATTCCAACAAAATTCTTGAAAAAATTTAGAATACAAAGATTTCTTGGTCCTGCGGCTGTGTACAAGTGGTTTATCTCATGTATTGGTATCTAAAAGGTTTGTTCACCTTATTGACTTTCACTTTATCCAAGTTTTGATTTGTTAGTTCAAGTTATGCCATTCAGAAGCTAGAACATCCTTTCTGGCTTTGGAGTGCACAGAGATTACCTTTGGAAAGCTGAACAAAAATTAAAAGAAACAGACTAGATACAGCTTGTAATGAAATCAGAGCAGTTCTGCTTATCTGAATTCATTCGAAAGTTAAGTACTCTTTCCATCTAACTGGAACTTGTGTGTTTTCTGCCCATGCACCCTGAAACACGCTGTGGGGCAAAAGTATACGTGACAAACTTCTTTTCTTTCCTGCTGATTTCTTTATACAATACCAGCATTCATAGACCCTAAAATTTTCTTAGTATAATGTCAGTCACAGACATGTGCTATGCAGGGAAGAAGTATCTCTCCTGGAATTGCTTCCCCAGGACTTGGTGGCAGATTCAGTGAGTCCAAAGGCTTTTTATTTTTATAAAGTCTACACTGCAGGGCCTAGAATACACTGTGTTCAAAAACTTCTGGAGACATCACCTCAGAGGGAGCACAAAGAATTTTAACCCCCAGTGCATCTAACCCCACTCCAGAGTTTTTACTGTACCTCTGTGTGAGAGCTTCTCCAGGATGATCTTCAGATGCTGCAGAACAGGGGGTGAAATGTCATATTTATAGATGTCTATTACTGGCACTCGCTGACATCTCCCAAATATTCCATCTGCAGGAGAGAGAAAAAGAAAAGGAAAAATACACATTTTGTTTTCTGAGAGGAAAAACAGTGTGATGAGATGCGCATTTCCAATGGATCCTAATTATATGCCGAAGGAACCTTTTAAAAGACACTTTAAAAAGCTATCAAAGGACTACTGAAGTCATGAGACAGGATATTTTCTATCAAAATAAATACTGGAAAGAATATTAGTTGTAGGAATATTCTATTGTACAAGTTATGCATACAGTTTAAATGCAAGAATCCTTTACTGACAATTCAGTGGGAAAAAACTTAATGTTCAATGCCTACTATGTTGCAGATGAAAAGTGCAGCATCCAGAAATATAAATATTAATCTGCAGAAACTATGAGGATTTGCTGAAACATTTTTAATGCAGGAGCTGTGTGTTAGGCATTGGTAAATGAGAACTGAATCCATAATGGCTAGTAAAGGCTCATTTCAAGAAGTACCCTCTAATGAATGCAATAAAAGAAAGCTGCTCACAGAACAATGAGATATTAATGTGGCCTAATTTATTTAGCTCCATTCCATTTGTCTGAAATGACAGACTCTTCTCATCAATGTCTTTTCAAATCACACCTTCTAATTAATTTAGCTTCTTATTAGTCTTTATTTAGAGAATTGTTCATTTTGAGGCAAGCTTCCTGTGTATGTGTGGGAGGAACAGGGAGTTCAAACATTCAAATTACCTTTCTCTCTTTCATACAAAAGCCTAATTCAGAGCCTAGGTGCTTCACATACAATCTGACCATCTGCAATTCTGGGTTTCTGAGAAAGAAAGTGGTTTCATTTATTGTTCAAAATAGTTCTCTTCTATATAGTGATCCAAAGGAAGCAATTTAAATGCAACAAGTTTAATTAGCAAAATATTCTACTGCAATCCTAGTTTTAACACAGTAATTACTTCTGCTCTGATATTACATCTACGCTCCAAAAGGAGAGTTACACCAGATTAGCAGAGAATAAGGGTAAGCATTAATTTGCAAGCGTCCATTACTTTCTGTGCTACTTCACAGAGCTAAAGGACTACAAATGGGAACTACTGGCCCAGCTGTTCACTAAACACAAATAATGGCATAAAAGAAAATAAACCAAACCAGGATGCAGAAAAAGGGCATTATTAGCCCTCACAGTTATACACAAATACCTCATTGAAATTAGCCAACTTTTTCTTTCTTTGCCTTTCCAATCCTCCTGTCACTTACAACTGCCAAATTAAGTTAATCCAAATCAAAAACCTACATCTGAATCTAATTTTGCTATTGGAAACTAAGTTTAATTTGGAAACCACATAGAAAGATATGGTTGGGTTTCTGCCATATAATGTAAAAAGCAGCCTAACAGCAGATTAAAACCCCTCTTTTTAAAAACCTGTTGCAGTTGGAAACAAGCAAAGTATATAAATATCAGTCACTTGTAAATGGATGGATAACAGGAATAAATAAGGTTCTGACTCAGAAAGGAATAGAAGAACATTTCAGTGTTAGGAAAAAGATTGTTCAAAATGAAACAGCTTGACATAGAGAGCTCCAGTTTGGAATACCATCATTACTGGCTTAGGACAAAATCTATGTTTATATAAACAACTAATATTCCATAATTTTTTGAGATAATGTACCTTAAAAATAATTATAATCTTATTTTAGAGTCCAGAAAAGCATACACATTAAGTACAAATTAGAGTTTTTTGTATTAAGTATCATTTAAGGGTATCTCCATGGATGCAAAAGCTAATTCACTCACAAACTCCAAAAGAGACCAGACCCTTTTTCCTAAGCTTAGAGTTTTCAGAAACCTGTAGCCTACTTCCTTTGAATAGAACAAAACCTATTTGAATTCTAAAATTAACAATTAGCACATGAGTCTGAGCTGCATTATACAATCTATCCAAAAACACTGGGACTGCTTAGGGAGAAACTGCAAGTTACTTTGGCTTTTGTACTTGAAATATGGGCATAATGAGCTTTGAAGAGGCTGCAACCACAAATAGTGCTCGGCTCTGCTAAATGCAGTATGAGGAGAGTGGAGCAGAGCGATGCCCCCAAGGAGGGGTTGGCAAATACCAACTCTTAAATACAGAGGATCTTTATACTGGGGATTACAGTTGAACTGGAGTCATGCAAATAGTACATTTCATAGTTCAGCTGCTTTTTCTAAAAAAGTGGGAATTTTCCTAGGTTTTTCTATTTACTTGGGTTGGTTTTACGGTTGGGGTCATTTTGTTTGGTTTTGGTTTGTGGGGGTTTTTTTTAATTATTACATTATTAAGGTTTCTGAGGCAAGATTTAAGACTTAAAAAGTTAAATTGAGGTTGAGCATTCAATTTTCAAGGCACCTTTTAAATAAACTTTCTTGAAATTACACAGATTGCAGCAGGGACAGGGGAAAGGCAAGGAAGACCCATTTTACCAAGAAAAATTTGTAAAAGGTGCCTTTCTTTACCTTTCAAGAAATCTATTTGGCATGATGTGGCCCAAAATTGGAAATGGTTATGGCCCACCATGAACCCCATTTTTACTTAAATTACAGCTCATGTTCCAGAACTGTCCATCTTAGTCTGCTATGAGTTATCCCAATCTTTCTGTGACATTTACAGTGAGTCAATACGTGGTGCATCTTTCTGGACCAGCTGTACCTGCCTCGGGCACGGTGTGATGTGGGGCTGCTGAAAATGGAAAAACTCCCAGCCTTTACAGTGAGTGTAACAGGGCAGAGGAAGTTCAAAGCATGAATGATGTTTTAATAATGCCATGCTCTGTCTGCCTATAGCTGTTGAGAGCATGTTCATACTGAACCTTCATTAAAACTGTGTTCTGAGAAGGAATGTACTGTGCAAAGGACATCTGCTCTTTAGACATGCCCAGAACGAGGGAAGGTTGAGACAACCGATCAATACACACATATGGTTGCTGTTAAAGTGCTATCATTTGCTGTTAGCAAAACGTAGTGTCTGAAATTTCCATAATAATGTCTTATAAGTTATACTTAGACCTGGCAACATCTGTGCTAACAGCATGATAATGTTGACTTTTAGACAGCTTCTGCATTTGTTTCCAAAGAAGAGACTAAAACAGAGGAATAATATACCCATATACCCAAGGAGGCAGTGAGATGCTTCTTTATCTGTTTGGCTGTTTTGGTTTAACATTTGAGAAGAAATGCAAGTATAAAATTTTACAAGCTTTTATTTAAAATCTTGAATTTGGACAAATATTTACATATTACAAAGTTAGATGCTAAGATTAAAATACATAAATTTACTTAACTCAGGTGTCCAGTAAGACCTCAAATAGTAGCAGACAAACCTCTTTTATTAAAGACAATACCCCGGAGCATAGTAGATGTATTTACACTGAGTATTTATCAAATTCTAGTGAAAAAAATTACAACTGATAGATTAAACCATGAGCAAGTCAAAACACAAGTTCTGGAAGTATGATTGTTGAGAAAGGTTTAGAAGAGAACAGAAAACGCCCATCATTATTCATTATTAATGCTCATTCTCATTAATTAGTGCATATTTATGACCTCTATTACCTGCTGAGGAAGTACCACATTGCATTCATGACTGACATCTAGGTACAGAATTATGTAAAACCTATAATTTGAAACAGATTTGAAGAGTTGGTTGGGCCAGCATTTTCACTTGGTAAGGCAGACAGGCATGATGTGCTTAACAGGCACTAAAAAATCTTTGGAAGCTTGCACTGAGTGACAATCTTCACCTTGAAGGCAGCACTATTTGTGGGCAGCTGATTCATTAAATTCTTTTTAGGTAGTGTTTCCTTCAAAAAAAAAAATCAGGGTACAATAAGCTGTCCTTGGCAAGAGAAACATATCCTATCCTGGAACCACTCAGTATGGCTAATCTGATGATTGAAACTAAGACGCATCCAAGACTTGGCACAGTTTTGAATAATACCAGCAAAAAAAAGAATGAGTTCTTGTTGATCATCTTTTAGTACTGAGCAAAGCTATGCAAACTGGTAAGGATACTGGAGTTTGTCTGCAGGCTGCTGAAAGCTTGATATATGTAAATTAAAAGATTGTGTTGTATAGTAATTAATTATTTAGATCTACATGCAGTGAAATTTTCACATGGCGCTGACAAGTGACCTTTGCAAAGGAGCCTTCAAGCAGATGCTTTGAAGCACCTGGTTCTTCTGCTCTTCAAACATTGTGCAGCAGCCAGAAAAGAGGTAGCTCTCCACACAGCGACAGTACTCACACACAGGGGCCAAGCAACACTTCAGCTTCCTTCCCCTTACTGCCTCACAATTTTTAAAAAATTATAAAGTAGAGCTAAAACTAAGTTTTGCCCCGTGGTGCATCCATTGTGCTTTGCTCCTGAGTCGTGATACAAAACAGAAAGTCCACAGAGCCAATGGTGTGTCCAGTGGCAACTTCTGCCACCTTTTCCTGCATCATTTGTGCTCTTGCAGCTAACCAGAGAACTTCCTCTGATGTTTCTGCAGAGTTTTCAATGGGCATCATTCTTCAGCAACTTAACCTTCTGTAAGAGAAGAATTCTTTCTTCTCACTGAATATGGACATCACTTCACACTCCTTCCCCCAGCTAGTGGTTTAAGGTACTGTAAGATACAAGAGTAGTCCAGGACTAATGAAAAGGTCAGTGCTTGCACAGTTAGAGCCTGAGTTGCCTACTGGAGAGATTAAATCCTTTTCCAATGGGAAGCATAATATTTGCATCTCAAAAGTCCATTGATGCCGGACTTCAAGGTCACAGACATTAAATGTTTTAGGAAGTATGAAGGAGACAGTTACAGTATTTTACTCTTCTCTCCCTGCTATTTCTCATAGTATGGCATTTGTTTTCAAAATCCTTTTTCAAAAATTAAATAAAAAAAGAATAAAATGTTACTCTTCCTTGGAGACATTAAGTCGTTTGCAAGGAGGCTTATTACAGAACATATAGTACACAAATCCACAATCAAGATTTACAAGTAAGTTGTTCAGCAAACAAC